AGTAGGAAAGGTGAAGAAATCACAGTGAAAAGGAAGCGGATTAAAATTCTCCTTCCAAATTAGAGGTCAACAGGTTTGAATGAGGATCAAACTTTTGACCATCTCCATCCACTCTGGATGGAATCGGATAACAGAGGAAAGCAACATGAAGAAAAGCTGAAGAACAGAGACAGGATGAAAATCTAAGCGAAAGAAGAGCAAAGGGATAGAAACTCTGCATCAGGCTAACCCTGCAGAGCTGCTAATATAGAATATTTACTGGAGACCAGTAGTCTAAGCTATGTTGCGACCCCTATTTGCAATAGTGATCCCAATGCAGCCAACTGAGTGCAGAGATTTGCCACTAACGGTAAAAACAATCAGGAGACAGAAGACGAGGAACATCTTAGGAGTTAGCAACATTGTCAGTGCACTCCAGGGAGGGAACTGATCTACCGGCTGTTTTGGAATGGTCTAGTTAGCCTTTTGCTGACTTGAATGATCCCTCGAAATCATAAGAACATCTCGAAACACTTCAGTTTGCAGGCTAAAAGATATGATGCCCGGAGAAACGTAAACAAGAGAATAGGTCCGTTTATCTGAAAGCCAAATCAGTTTCGTCTTGGGATTGCGTTGCTGTTTGAGAGGCAGGACTTAAAACGCCTATAAATGAACTTCTTCACATGGTTTTTCCCTACTCTCTTTCTCCTGGGTTAAATCCCATAGCCACTATAAATTTACCACAGCCCTCTAAGACTATCAATACTAAAGAAGCAAAACATATATGGTTAAGATCAGCAATACACAGTCACTTCTAAGTGCAATAAGAAGCAGTCTCTTTTGACGACCTACCTAGAAAGCAATGGAGCCTAGCAGCTACCCCGGTGAGTAGAGACAGCCACAATCTGGAATGAGCAATGAAAGGATTAAACTAACAGTCAGAAGAAATCTGGCAATTCCCCATAAAACTTTCAGAAAGTTAGTATCAAAACACAGTACTTTTTAAATATATAAATCCCAAATTACCACACAGAGTACAATTCCCTTCAGATCCAATCTGATTTTAAACTTTGTCTGTACTTTAAAAAGGAAACTGCAGTTTCAGCAAAACACACTGAATGCTCCCACAGTACCTGACCCACCTTTCCCTCCCATACAAAGGATGCTATTTCCAGGTTCAGTGAGGGATGGAACAGTATTTTTCCTACCCCTCGGTCCCACCATCATTGCTGTTGTGTTAGAAGCAGGCACTTGAATGGCACCTTTTGTAGCCAGACAACTCTATGTTCAAACATGGATTCAACTATATCTCCAGGGAAAATAGTTAGATGGTCTTAGATTAGCTGACAGTCTACACACACTGCAAAGGAAACATATTTCTGCAAACTCAGTGCAGCCCATTGAGTTAAAGGATACCCTGCCCCACTGATTAACCTACCCTACTTAAACGATACTCTGGACAGACTGGCCTCATTACCCAGTAGACATCTGCAACTTTGAACAGGTAGTGGTATATCAGGAGCAAGTCCTCTAACTGTTTAGGGGACAGAAATTGTCACGTACTTGTCCACAGAATTACAAAGTGCTGCCAGAGCTCTGACAAAGAGCCACAACACCCCTCAAGGATAAAACAGAGCAGCAGAGTAATTGTATAACGGTTTTCTTCCGAGAACAAAGACATGGTTGCGTTATGTATCTTTCCACCCTGCAGAAATTCAGGGTCCCAGCGGTACATCAGCACTCCTCCATGCTGCAGGTGGCATGCGCAGGGCAACGATGGCACCCTCACCTTGCAGAGGTTCCTACCCAGGTGGAAAAGAAGATGGATGCAGACAGAGGGCAAAACGCACAGAAGCAACAAGGCAGTATTAGTCAGCATGAAAAGCCACAGTCAGACCAGCAGCAGGTTAACTGCTGTCAAATTTCCACAGACATTGCAGTAAAAGAGTTTTAAGGAGGCATTTGAGAGAGTGTAACGGCATGGATTTGGGAACGTTGACATGTAAAGACAAGAATGGGGAAAAAAGTGTGAAAGAGCTCAGGTGAAAATCAACCAAGTGTAAGTGGAGGTTGGTATCACAGGATGGCCAGAAGTGGAAGCTGGTCTCTCACTAACAGGCTAGGGATGTGTGGGAATCAAAATTTCCATCTTATGGGAAAGTTCATATTTCTAAGTATATCTTTATTCTGAATCAGATCAACGTTAATAGGTAAGAGCTCTCCACACAGTTGATACTCTCCAAAGAATCTGCTGCGAAAGGACTTCTCTAAAAAGCAACACCCATACCAAATATTCAAGTTGTTGTCTTAAGTACTGGACTTGGATGCACTGGGGCAGGGGTGGCAAAGATAGGTGCCAAGTTCTCAGTCTCCTCCTGGTACAATTTCACTCTGTGTAAACAATGAATCAACAGGCAGAGCAGGGATGTGAACACAGGTGTTTTCCCTCCAAGCTGAGCGTCTGAAAGGCCAGATCAAGTCAATTATTATGCTCTGTTCCATTTAACAATAAAAGTAGTATTCTGAATTTATCTCTTGGCATGGAAAAAAAATAAACCCTCAAAAATGTCTAATATGATTTGGGCAAAACTAAAAAAAAAAAAAGGGTCAGCTGTTGGCATAGTTGCTTAACTGAAAAATTATCTATTTGCAACTACAACTACTCAACACTAGCAGGGCTTTAGGAAAAAAAGAAGGGCTGTGACGTTTAAAGCAAGGAGATTAAATGTGTTCATATATTTATTTATAAGAATGGCTTTTAAAACACCTTCAGCCCCTTTATTAGGTAGCGAATGCTACTGCACTTTGCAGACCAGAAAGCTAGTGACAGCCTTGCTCCATAATTAGAATTCTCGCAGTACACAATAGCTGGACATGCAAACACACTTCTAAAGGAAGCGTCTAAAGAAGAACAGTTTTTGCAAATGGACAGAAGATGTTTATATTCCTCTTCCATGGCATTAGAGAAGGTACAAGGCGTCTGCCGGTGAAACAGGGATGTGTGCAGCAAGCTCTGGGCTGATATGCAGGTGACGAAAGCTGGTCATACTGTGGACGGGCACGGATGGCACAGATGTGATAGCACTGCACAACCTAGCATGCCAGGCAGAAACACTGACTGGCTCCTGCTCCCTTAACTCCTTGCAATAACTCCTGTTGTTACTTTACCTTCATTTTCTTTCTCGCTTGTTCTTCATCTCCCCAGTCATTAAATTCACAATTCTAGACTGATACATAAGCTTTTATCAGGGCAGGGAATGATCATTTCAAGTGTCTTCACAACAGGACCATTTTTATGACAAAAACCTTCAGTACTGGGCCAAGAGTTTAGCTGCAGTGGCATTGCCTTCCAACTGCAGTGCTTCAGAAGAGAAACAGTCACGCCTGGAGCCAGATTTGAGAAGCCAAAAAAATCTGAGTAAAGGAATTAATTCTCCATTAAAAATACCTTAAAAATTAATCAGTAACTGGGGAACAAGGACACAAGGGACAGGGGAGAAGTTCTACAACATAGGGATTTGAAGCTTCTATACTAAAAAAAGGTTAGTAAAGATATTTGACTTTTTTTCCTCTTTAAGGTTGAAGATATTTTCTGTAGATTGCTGTCTCATACTAGCAATATGCACTCACTGACAGAGCAACTAATTCAGTCTTTAGGTCTACAATCTGAGCATATAAGGGAAAATCCCAGGCTTTGGTGAAGCTGATGGCAATATTGTCACAGAGCCAAGACTTCTCCCATGACTCCTATTGACTTACAAGACAAAGTAACAAGAGCATTTTTTCTTGGGTACTCTCTGGGTGGAGATCTAAATAAAGATGAAAGCTTCTCTGGTGTTTACTCAGCTAGCATTATTAGTTGCACACCTTACACGCAAAACCCATGCTGAGCCTGCTGTGTCTAACAACTGCAGCTGTAGAACTTTCTTGCTGACCTACATAAGGAATGTCACCTGTATTTGCCAACCATGCCATCTGCCATTCACATGACCACTACCGCATTCGCACAGAAACTCACGAGCAATCATGCAATGAGATTTCTGCATTAAGTCCTTTAAGTTAAAGAAAATGTATTGCTTGGGGAAGAACTGACAGCTCTAAAGATTGGTTTATTTACTCACATAATCTTAATGGCATGGGCACGTTTCCTCGCATGGTCCTGCCTTTCCATCTAAGCGAAAACACAGCAGGTACATCAGTGACTGTACACTTTCCATCCTCAGCCTCGCTGAGCTTTTTCAGGCTATACTCATTACAAGGTACAAAATCTGGACAGAGACCAGCTATTTTATCTCTTAAACTATTCCTCGCTCAGGCATAATACATGTTTTTCCCCTAGAACTGCCTCATTATAACAGTAAAACAATAAAAGCATGCAATGGTTTAAATCAGACATCACTGCTACACAAGGCTAAGAGAAAACACAGCCAAAAATAATCCTTACATCCTCCCGCCTCCACAAATTCATTTCTTCTTGCTGTTGTAACTGAGTGTGTGTGATAGTTTCCCAGGGTAAAAACTCTGATCAAACTAGTTCCTAAGTAAACGTGAATATCCATATCCAGTGCGGGCCATTTACTCTGTCCTGCCCATGACACCCTCCAACCTAGTGACTCACAAAACAGCTGCCATGCACAGTGTGTCCCCCGTGTGAGATGAGATGTCAGTATCCCGGTATCACAGGTGGATATACTGTTGCTCTAAGTAGGGCCTTTTTTTCAAAAGCAGCCTCTGACTACAGTGCCAGACTCAAAGATCCATTGAGCACCCAACATCACTAGTCACATTTTAAACCTCTGACCATACACACTCACTCAACATCATGCAGGAAACCTGCGGTACAGAACTCGACTCTTCTGAATCACCCATTGGGAGAAGAAGGATGGCCATGTGCTCAGCAACATCCAACTCATACACTGTTTGGGAGTCGTGAAAACAGGCCTTGATGAGTATGTTTTTTGCTCAGCAAAACTCTGTGAACGCTTCAGGAGAATTCCAGTCTGGATCAGATCAATACTCACAGGGACACGTGCTCTCAAAAATAAGTATTTTCAAGGAGTTTTGAAGAACATCTCTCATTCCATCAAAGATAATTTCCTCAATCTTCTGTTATTTAGTCCCACAAGGCACGGCATTCACTGAGATTACAAGGTGCTGTTGCTCTTCAACAGTGAAAAGAACATGTCTTGGACAGGAAGCCTGTGATATGGGCTGCTGGTTGGACTTCTGCTGCTGTTCCTGAGTCTGTCAATGAATTTCTGTGTTACCTGGGCAAACAACACAACATCACATACCTTAGTTTGTTCAGTTATCCTACAGATAGAGTAATATTCACCTACTGCTCAAGGGAGCCCAGAGGCTTTGGTGGGTCTGATTGCTCTCCTAGTAAAGCCAGTGGATATTTTCTATCATTAACTGCAGGAGAAGCAGCACGTGGCCCTAAATAGAATATTTCTAGGATTCACTCGTGACAGGCACTATATGACTAAGTCCCTCAGGACAAGCTATCCCACCAACAAACAAAACAAGCAATCCACAGGTTGATATCTGAATTCCAGGTAAATTATGACCTCATGGTTCTCCTTGTGTCTTGTTATCTCATTTATTTTCTTCCAGTACATTATTTCATGCTACATTATCTGTTCAGTTTCAGTGAGATCCCAGGGCCGATTGCCACTTAACCCTCAGCCTAAAGTCGAAGCACAAATTCCCTTTGAAATTCCCTGATACGAAGGACTTCATATTAGGCCCATGTCTTCTGTTTAAGTGTAATACAGAAGAGACACTGGCACCGACGGAGACACGAAAGATTAGTTCTGCTAAAGGAAGTAGGCCAGTTAGCAAGAACCCCAGGGGAAACAAACAAATCCACACCTTCTTTAAAATCACTGCATTTTGCCTAGTAATACAATTAAGCTGCGCGCTCAGACAGAACAGGCCATCAAAGGTTGCTTATTAACCCAACATATGGTAAGTGTCAATGAGAATGCCCTTCCCTATCAAAGAGGTTTAGCATCTTTATCTTGACATTGAGGTGGGGCCATTTAAGACAGCAGCAATGAAATGCCCCAGAGCTCAAAACTCCATGAGTCATTTTTGCTGTAATGAACGCAACCATCATCCTGTGATTCAATTTATGCATCGTTAGCAATGTAGGAATATAATCTCATAAGCAATGGTTTGCTCCACTTTAACTCCATGAATCAGGGAAGCCAAGAGCAAGGCCTAACAAACTGTGTGTTTACTGCTTGCCCTGGCTTCATCCCGCTGCAGTTCAGCACCTTGCAGAGTCATCGATTCTTGCAGAAGGCGACTTACTTAAAGCTTCATCTCTGGAGAAGAGAGCTTATGCAAGGTTTTTCACTATCACTGAAAAAGACTATGTTTCTTTGTAACTCTATTGGTTGGAGGCAAAGGCTTATGCCCTAAACATTCAAGCACCAGAGAGCAAAAAAGAACAGTACATTTTCAAATAAAAGAAGAGAATTACATTTCAGTTGATGCTGATAATACTGCAGCTGGTCATGTAAGAATTTGTATAAGAAAATTCTACCTTCCTAGATACATATGCCAATATCAGATACAAGCAATGGAATTACCTTTCAGATGAAAACCTTCACAAAATTCAAAGATGTCCAGTTTGGGCTCTACCACTAAGAAGGCCATGAACACTTGCTTTGTGTTTTTAAATCTCACAGAACTACAGTCAAATCAAGCCTGACAAAGCAGAGACATTACTGACCATCAGTGAGCATCACTGAAGAACTATGTCACAGTAATAAAAGCTTTCCACAGCTCACACTTCATGGACTTTTACAACAGGGCAGATGGAGGCTTTAGGCCAGACTCACAGAGGTATTTAGGAACCCGGCTTTTGCTCCTGGGGATCTCAGCTGACTAAATACTTTGCTTTCATGTAGTTGTGCCAAATAAGGAACTCCTTTGCCAATCATACACTCTGTCAGCATCCCTGGAGCTCAAGAATATTTCGTTACCAGACAGCTTCTTCCTTTGAGATGACCAAATCACTAGGTTTCAAACTTTGCTCATGATCCTTAAGTGGACATGTATGATGCAGTTTTAAGGGAATTCTTTCTAAGGATGCGATTGCTCCTGTATGTATCTCAGTGTACACAATGTACCTCATTGTACTGTATCTACCTCAGAACAAATTTCCAGGACAGACCATAGCTGTTCAAGAAACCCCTTTTACGGGAGATAAGGCCTAATGCTTAAAAAAGCCAATACTGTGTCATTGCTACAAATGATCCAGGATTTGCCCTGCCAGCCACACCAAGGAATACATCATTCTGAGTTAGGATGAGCAATGATCAATTTTGCCTCATTTCTTATGGGAATTAGGCTTATCATCTTCAATAAGTTTTGAAACTGTCAGCCAATTGTTGACAAAAATAAATTACAGTTAAAGAAACTATTGAGATCATAGCCCTTCTTGTACTTGATGTACTTGTGCACACGTGTGCCTGGTAGAAAAAGGCAGCAAGAGCTGTGCCCTGGGGATGCAGCAATGTGAAAACAAAGAGCTTTGTGACCAGCACAACTCAGGAAATCAGATTTCCTATAGAACTGTGTCTCTTGGTTGATTAAATGCTTACACTGAACTATTCTAAGATTTGCTGTTTCCATGTTCATAATTCAATGTATCAAATTAGAGTCATCTGTCCTCCTCAAACCTTTGAGGGAGATGCCAGTTTAGGGGAATTTACCCAGAAAAATCCTTCTTCTCTTCTCACATGGAGGCAGTCACATCTGAATGCACCATTCAGTCATTGGAGAAAACTGACAAATATCTGACCCTACAGCTGTGTTTGCCTGTCACCCTATTTTTACAAAACCTTGAAACTGCTCCACTTATGTCATATTTGGTTGAAACTGGTCAATGGGAACAAAATATTATTTAAGGGACAGATACGAAGGTGCATGTGCATACAGGTATTCAGGGATGGCGTAAGCCTCATTTCCAACAGAGCCTATGTTAAAAGATGAAGGTCAGCTATCTTTTCTGAAGCTGTGAGGCAGGTGCTAGGTTTGGAGCATCCCCCCAGGCAGTGGTGTTGCTCTTCAAAGTCATGTAGGTACAGCTATGGCTCCTGGGACCGAGGATCCACGAGCGTACACAGAGGTGTTGAGGACTATTCAGGAGCCACAGAGAACTTCAAGGGGCACAGGAACACGGCTCACACTAAAGGAAGGGTGGAGACTCTTCACTGAGGACAGTGCATGAAGGCCACACAAAGGAAACATGGACAAAAAGTAAGGGACTTGAAAGTGCGGTAAAAGTCTTGGCCGGGTTATTACGGAAAAGAGGGTAAGTGAAACACATGACTGAAGAGGCAGAACTAACAGAAGAAGGAATAAAAGTATGAGAGCCAAGCACTACAGCAGCTCACCCCGAAAGGCAGCAAATTCTGTTGCTGCTGGGAATCTGAGAGGACTCAAGGTGTGATCCATGAAAAACACAAAAAGATCACTGGGCATGGAGGAAAGCTGTTTTTACAGACAGCCCATCTCTTTGTCAGAGTCCACTTCCTGACAGCTAGTTTGTAGGGAACAATGCTCCTGTGACTCACTAAAAAAAAACGTTTGCTTCTTGTTGAAATAATAGTCGCAATGGGACTGCAGTGAGTTACATTTCCTTGAGATGCAGCTGGCTCACACACTTGGCAACCACAGAGACCGTGCCAAGCTGATGTGCATTTCAACTAACCACAGTTTTGAGACGCTTTTAAAAAAGGGAAAAAAAAAAAAAAAAGAGAGGGAAACACTTGAAAAGCAACCAATCAGCTTTTAAAGTTTTGTGGCATTTTTTAAATTCCTTCCCTAGAAAACAACCACTGCATGCAAAGGTTTTCAAATAGCATGCAGCATGCCAAGGGCTTAAAGCAACATCCAGAAGTAGCAGCAAAGAGCTAGTAAGAGTAGCTTTGTGATAATATTTTTCATTAATGATATAAGATGACAAGGCTTAGGTTTAAGGTGAAGAAGATGACAGAGGTCTTGCCTTGATAAACTTGCAAAAGAAATACAGTCTCGCAACCTCGATTTTTAAAATTAATCATTTTATGCATCAATCATTCCTGCAGATTTCAGTGTAATCACCTGTTTGAATACAAGCTGTTTGCAAGAATAAAATTTTCCTGGATAAAGACCTAAATTCATGCAGATCATACAAATAAGCATTTGGGAATAGAAGAGATGGCAGAAATTAACATATGAAAAAACAGCATCTTAGTACATATCGGGGTGCAGGTGTTTACATATGAAAGTTGAGCAAACTCTAAAAAATGAGCATAATGGCTCTTGCAGAAAACCCAGGAACCTTTCAAGCTGAAAAAAACAGGGGAGACAAGGTCAGACCTGCTGAAGGGGAATCAGAGATGAGCTGGGATATATCTAATAGATTTGAAGGAGAGAGAGGACAGGATGGAGAAGCGAAACAAGGATCTTGCAAGCCGCATCAGACTTCTGCCAGCAGGGACTAAGAGCGAAAGAAATTTGACAATAAGGTGACAACCGGGAAGGAAAAGTTGCAGAATGCTGCTGAACACTTACTTCTACCAGGCTGTTACTCGTTTAGAGATGCGACTTTTGGTTTCTTGCTGGTTTTTTTTTAAGAGCTTAAATAAGAATACTTACCCACTTAGCTTATAATATTTAGGAAGCGATACTATTATTGCAGGCGCTAGAGTCGTTACACGCATTACGACACAGGGAGCTGACGCTGCTTAGCGGAGCTATCTTTGCAAGGAGAAACCGTGCCTGCACTCCTCAGCCCGCCAGATACGGCTGTAAGAGTATCGCCGGCCCCCAACCCCTCCCCACGGCGGACAACACCCAAGGCGGGAGCCCGGCTGGCAGGCGCAGGGGCCGCCGAG